CTCAGGAAAATTAGATTAGAAAAACATGCATGGTTGAATACTGAGCCTGCAAATGTTCGAATACGTTTGAATATTGTAGCTTAAGAACGTGGCTAGGTCTTTTACCAGACCGACCTTTCACCAGACCGACCAATTAAACTTCACTGAGAAACCGTGAAAACATTGTCTTTAACCAGACTAAACGGCGTCATTGCATTTGTCAATCAAATTTGTTTATCGAGTCTGGTAAAAGGTCCATGTTGTAATTTTTCTGGTAAAAGGTCGGTCTGGTAAAAAATCGGTCGCCCTTAACAACCATTGCCCCCATTAGCAAAAAGAGGAGTAGGTATTAAACTGTACCTAGTTGCGGATATTGTACATAATAACAATATAACGATTGTACACTATAAAACTTACTTGAACGGGAAAAAAATAAGATTTCAATTGACAAAAAAACTAATATCACTTTCAAATTTACTAAGAAATTTTTTAATAAAAAAAGCGTGGTGCAAAAAAAATAAGCAAAAAAATTAAGCCAGCAAAAATTCGCGCAGGCAAATGATAGACTGACAATGAATTTTGTAGCAAGTGTGAAACGCATGAAAATAGCAAAAAGTTTTAGGCTATCAATCAAAGCGACAGAGTATCTTTGCTTGCGGTACTTGGATCAATTGAGCAATCTCCACCCACCCCCCCTTCTCGTTGGGGGGGGGGGGGGATTAAGCTTCATAGATACTTGAGACATGCTTATAACCACTTCAAAATAATTTGATTGATATGAAATCATAAAACAGATTCCCCAACGAATGTGGAACGCCAAGTTTTTAATATCGAAGCTCAAAAAATACAGTGAAAGAGTGAAAAAGAATCGATAAACTGAGGCATATAGAGCGACATTTTTCTGTCATCAAAGGAGGAAAAATTATTGCTTACAATGTTAAAATGCTGCAGAGAGCAGTGTTTGATATTTAGATAGAAGGCTAAGGCATCAACCCTGGTAAGTCGCATACCTCGATGAGGCAATGGTCGCCCAAACAAAAATTTGCAAGACAACTTTTTAAATAAAAATCGATTGCTTCAAAATTTTGTTTTAGAACGTGGCTGATCTAAAAAAAATACCAACATTGAGACTGTTTTGGTATTTTTCTGCTACTCAAGAATCATTTCTGCTACCCATGAAGTATAAACAAATTGTTTTTGTCGCGCGCTTTCCCTCCAACTTACTGATTTTTGGGGTTATTCATAGTTTTTTTGAGATAGATACGCATCTTTTGTGCTTTCAGAAAAATTGTTATCATCACCTGCTTTCCAGATGAAAAAAAGAAACACAGAATCAACAGATCACTCAAACCACTGGAAAAATAAAAGTGAAAAAAGTTGTAGAGTATTTTACATATTTGTTTCACTAGTTTTTTACGGTTGTCTTAAAATTTTGAGTTCATAAGCTCAAAAAAAGGGAAAAATTTGGCATTTGATTTATTTGTTAATATATAAGAGTTTCAATAATATATGTCCACTAGCAAGTGTATGTCGAAGGCGGCGCTCTGTGGTTTGAGAAATTGTATCAAATTGAATAGAAGCAACCTAACTAACCCAAATTGTGCATTGCTAGACAATTATTCTAAAAAAAACATCGTTATTGCAAGTAGAAAACTTTTTTTTAAATGGTATGCAGAGGGTCGCCAGTTTTTTTTTAAACTAAAGCAATTTTAATTCTTTGAAAGCAAAGCTACTTAATGCACTTTGAAGGGCTTTTAGAAATTTAATAACTTGAAATTGATACGTGCAATCGAGTCTTTTTCAGCTTTCTATTAGCTTCTTTGAATTAATCAGCAAGCTAGATTTTCATTTTTTTCTAGTGTAGCTCGCAGTTATTAATGTTCACAAAAACTCTTAGACTCACAATCTTTCCCTTGCCAAATTACTGATTATTTTCAGGCAAATTCAGTTAGGCAAAATCAATCAGACAATTTCAGCCAGGCATTACACACCAAATCTGGAGATCGAACGTTTTGACTGAACGTTTTGACAGCTTTAGATAACACTTGAAGTTGGCTGCTTGAATTAAATCGTCTGTGTTCACATTTTTTTGCCCAGATACATACAGTAATTAGTATACTGGGATTCGTTTCGTAATAACTACCGACTTCTTTGCATCGATTAACTTGCTTCATATATATTTGAACTGATTAAAGACCGAGATTATTTTTAACGTATGCTACGCTATAAAAATTGAAATTTCTAGTGACAATAATTATCTCAAATTGGACAAGCTATTAATTAATTAGTTTCTAATAATGTGAAAAAGTGGTCACTGACAAAAAATTTTCGAAAAATGAACTCAGTGAAAAAAAAGCTTGCCGGCTGACGCAAAATTGCTGAAAGTTAGAAAATTAAAAATTTCCATGCACAAAAATTCCCACATCATTAAACCAAAATTTACATTGAGGCGAAGCTGCACTTAGAAACATGAGCGATAAAACTGAGAAACTAGCTCTGAAAGTTAAAATGCGGGGAAAACGATGATCGAAAAAAACTTTAGCAATAAGCCAAATTCGGAACTACCAACATGGAAATTATGAGTTTCACGTCACCGCATTGGGCCTTTTTTGCTAGACAATGATCAAACACTATCCCCTTAATATAACAAGAACAAATTGTTTTGTTAATTGCCGACGATCAAGAAAAAAAACGCTAAAATTAAGGCTTTGGATGAGCAGCGCAGTATAACACTGATGTTTAGGTTGAGAATCTTTCATCCTCGCACCAGCCCCATGATCGTTTGTCAATGGTTAAACACTATTCATCTATATAGTGAGTACAAAAGATGCTGTTTAAATGCCAATGCTACGTCAGTAAGAAGGCCACTAATTGCGCACGCTTCTCCTGGAGTTGTGTTGAAAAATTGAGCTGCGTATATATATTCGCGTGGAAGAAAAAAAGAGCTCCTAAGCTGGAAAATCAGAAGAGCATTTCAACTAATATTTCTCACGGAAATTTTATACGATGTGAGAACTGTGTGTTGAGCTCAGAAATGCACATGTTTCAACTGTGATCAGCTTTTAGATTTTATTGGAATTAATAATTGACGTTATGTCCAATTTGTCCTAATTAACGCAAAACGAGTTATACGTTTTTCCTCATCTCATAGATTAGAAAGAAACCGAGACTGCTCGTATCAGAGCAATTCCCTGATTTTTTACGTCTAACAACGCACAATCATTTCGATCAGTCAGATTTTTTTTGAGTTGGAAAGAATTATCACCCGGATTAAATCGCCGCGTATGATAAACGGCAGACAGACTTTCGAAATTTGAAGACAAATTATTTGCCCGTAAAACTTCCAGTTAAAAAAGCAATTTATAACTGGTACTTTTGATTAAAATATTCCAATTTGAGAAAACTGGATCAATGGTAAATTTTGACACAGAGGCGAAGTTGCACTTCGCATACACAAGCCTAAATATGACCGATAACGATACTGGGAAAAACTGAATGAGTAAATCTTTGTGTACTCAAAGTTTCTTAAATGACGCACGCCAAATATGAGTCTACAAAACTACTAAGTGACGCAAGCAAATTATGACGCATTAGCAGTAACAGTCATTTCGGAAAAAATATACGAACTAACAAGACTCAGTTTATAGAGCGGTCGCATTTTACCTAGTATACGAAAAAGTTCAATAAAACATCCAAACCTGTCCAGGTTTGAAACCTCTTATTTTGTTGCTGGTCACCTTCGCTTACCTCTACGCTACAGATCCATGATCCTTTGAAGCTTAAGTGCCATTTGTAATATAATAGTCTGTGTTAATATCCTTAGCATTGGCTGTACTTAATAGCTGGTCCAAAACGAACAGTCTCAAAATGAACACATTTTGTCGCAACAATTGCATTGCAACAATATTTGCAACTTAGCTTGGAAATAATAGTCTGTGTTAATATCCTTAGCATTGGCTGTACTTAATAGCTGGTCCAAAACGAACAGTCTCAAAATGAACACATTTTGTCGCAGCAATTTCGAAATAATTCGATCATGTTTTTCATGAACTTTTACTTAATATTCCAATTTGAGAAAACTGGATCAATGGTAAATTTTGACACAGAGGCGAAGTTGCACTTCGCATACACAAGCACAAATATGACCGATAACGATACTGGGAAAAACTGAATGAGTAAAACTTTGTGTACACAAAGTTTCTTAAATGACGCACGCCAATTAAGAGTCTACAAAACTACTAAGTGACGCAAGCAAATTATGACGCATTAGCAGTACCAGTCATTTTGGAAAAAATATACCAACTAACAAGCCTCAGTTTATAGAGCGGTCGCATTTTACCTAGTATACGAAAAAGTTCAATAAAACATCCAACCCTGTCCAGGTTTGAAACCTCTTGTTTTGTTGCTGGTCACCTTCGCTTACCTCTACGCTACAGATGCATCATCCTTTGAAGCTTAAGTGCCATTTGTAATATAATAGTCTGTGTTAATATCATTAGCATTGGCTGTACTTAATAGCTGGTCCAAAACGAACAGTCTCAAAATGAACACATTTTGTCGCAACAATTGCATTGCAACAATATTTGCTACTTAGCTTGGAAAAAAATTCATACTATAACACAAGCTATGCTTGTGTAAAGTGTAAAAACAAAATGCAATTTCGAAATAATTCGATCATGTTTTTCGTGAACTTTTACAGTTCGATAGTGGGTTTGTCTGTCTTTTAACAATGGAAATTGAAATAAATTAGGAAGAAGTCAAAGTCAAATGCGTAAAATCTAATTTGAGCTTGAACAAATGCAGGACTTTTTCTTGAAATTCTTGAAAAAACTAAAAACACTAAGACCTATAAAAGAGTCTTATTTATGTTCATTATGCTTAATTCCAAATATTTTAACAAATCACAAATTTTATCATAGTTTTGAGTAAATTGTAAAATTGACTTTTTCAGATTATGATCCTCTTTTCCTAAAACCTTCAAGATTTAAAGAAAACTTTAAAATCAATTGAAATCAGGTCAAACCAAGCCACAAATATTAAAATATCCTTTTGCTATCGCAAAAGAAACAATCATCAAGCAAATCACAAAATTACAGTAATTGTTTTACAAAATTAATCAGTCACATTCAATGTTCTGTTTTACCTCAGAATTTTCGTATTCATGACATTCATCGGTAATTCTTTCGAGTGCCTCGCTCAATTTTTCACCCAATTGCTGCTCATCAATCGGCTCTAAATGAGTAAACCCGGAGACATTTGCTGGCGTGTCGTCAGCAGCTGGCGAGGCTGGCGTGAACTGTTTATAAGCCAGCGGGTTGTAGGACCTCACAATCGGAGTCATCTCTAGCTTTTCTTGGCCCTCTTGAGGTAAACGGGCAATATTTTCGACAGCATCGGCCGATTCAGTTTTGACTATCATTTCCTCTGGCGAAATCTCGCTTGATTTATTTTGTGAGGAGTTTTCTGGCCCCGCCCAAGCAGCCATAGTTGAATCACTGTAGTTGAAAGATGATCCTCCGCTATTTAATTTATCTTTTAGAGGTACAACTGGCGTCGCTGGGCCCATATCTTTTTGCATATTTTCAAAAACATCACGAGCAATTTCACTTAGAGTGTCTCTAAAATTTTGAGATTGAAAAAAGGTGTTCAGGCTTTCTTTTACAGTGTCTTTTATAATTTGCTTCATATTAGCTTTCAGGTCAAGAACCTCATGATAAATTTCGTCTGTCGATATTTCATTGGTAATAGGTGGGATGACAAACTGAGACTCAACAGGAACCACCGAAAGAGTTCCTACACGCTTCAAGGACTCGTTTTTGAATTTGCTAATCGGGTTTTCATTTTCCTTCTCTTTGTTTAGGCTCACTTTACCCTCTGTCGTCAGTCCCAGACTCTTAGTTGCCTTTCTTTCTTTGATGCTTTTAGTGATGGCAAACTTCTTCGCTCCATAAGAAGAATCCGATGCGACTGAATGATCACTCGGCAAACCCGAAGCAACTGTTGCGGACGATACCCTGTCCACTGGTACCTGAAAAACGAACAGAGTCAATTAATTCAACGAAACAGAAAAAAATGTTCCGCAATATTTTTTTGCACAAGCGTAAGGACCAACATACGCGCTGTTCAGCTCGTCACGGAGAACCGCTCTTGTGTCCATACTTCAGAACTACATGCAATTTTTTTGGTTATCTCTCTGGGCTAGGTAAGATTGCCTCAAGCAACGCGCGCAGATCATGGTGGGCCTCGATCATCCGACCTTTCAATTAAGAAGCGGAGACGTCACCGACTCACCGCCTTTTTTCAAATTATGAGCATCAAAGAAAATAATATATCAAAGAAAATAATATAATATAAAACTCTTTTATGATAGTTTTCAAAAAACTAACCAAAATTGAAAAAAGGGCCCATATTTGAGAAAAACATTGTTTCATAAAATTAGCCTGAGAAAACTTATCAAACTTTAAGCCCAGGGTTAAAATAATTTTAACAGACATCGGCGTAAACACAAGCGAGAACTCGGCAAAAAGCAGCCCTTGAACATTCAACAAGAAAAAATAGAAATAAACCTCGAAATAGCATAAATTCGGCTAGGTCTAGGATTCGATCTGCCACCTACTGCAATCAAGAGATTTTGAATCCCACGCACTAACCACTCAGCCACGCACGCTTAACCTCCAACAAACACTAGTCACAAACAGCAGCTACATATGCTAATAAATTGCCAATGCCATTCAGCAAAAGTAGCACCAAATACAAAAAGACACAATTTAGCAAGTAGTAATTTGTAATATAATAAACTGAAGGCATCCACACTAAATTTGCGTGTATCAAATCGCAAAGCATAAAGCCACATTATGTCTAAATTATGCATTTCGAAAAATTGCGAGAAATATTGTGTTAGAAAATTTCTGAAATCAAATTTTTTGTTTAAGTTGTTTAAAACAATTAGCTTTTTTTCGGTTCATTTGATGAATTAAAAAAGCATCAACTGTGTTCACTTATTACTATTCCAATGTCAGAGCACAAGCATTCGAATGTCAAAGCACAAGCTGTAATCGTGCTCCAAAAAGTGGCACTAATATTTGCGACTTTGGTTAGAAACAAAAGATGGTTCTTAATAATACACTTAGCTGTAATCGTGCTTTGGTTAGAAACAAAAGATGGTTCTTAATAATACACTTAGCTGTAATCGTGCTCCAAAAAGTGGCACTAATATTTGCGACTTTGGTTAGAAACAAAAGATGGTTCTTAATAATACACTTAGCTGACCAAGTGTGATCAAGGAGCGTTATTTGTTTTCAAATTAGCAAATTAAATTGAAAAAAAATATATTGAGAAACAAGGATAGCCGGTTGTTCTTAAAAATTACATACAAAAAAATTTTTTATTATTTAATTTCATTTTTTGTGCGTAGTTTGATGAAAAGATTTGAACGAGAGACTAGATATTGAGCATTTCCAATATTCGTAAAAAAGGCAAAATGCAAAAAATTTCACAACAATCTATTTTTTTGCAGAAGTTTTGAAATTTTTTCATTCCCAAGAGGGCGCTAAAAAACGTTGACAACAATTTACTCTAGGATCTAGGATTTTCTCGAGGAGGGGCGAATTTTCGAAAGTTTGAAAAATTTGTCGACCTTTTTTTAGGTCGATCAAATTGATTTTTCGAGCTCTCCCAAAGCACTAAAAAGACCCTGTTTCGGCCAAATTTAGGTTCCGACAGCCACAAATGGATATCTCAAAATAGTACAAAGGGGGAACTTGAAATTGGTTTTTCTCGACATTGAGAAATTTTACGACTGAAACGGCTTTATTAGATATCACTCAACTCAGTCCGATGATTATTTGTGATACCTGATTTTGCATGGGAAACAAAAAAAACTAAAACACATCCGAATACAAAGTTCCATCTTATTTCCAATGGCAGAACAGCCAGAAATCAAATCACTCATCGATACCATAAGTTCTAGCTTGAAATTTTTAGACTACTACCTTATTTAAAAAAAAAACGAAAAACAGTAGGACTTACATAGTTAAAAATCAATTCATTCATTGAAACTTTCTGATAAAAAATGCCCCCATTCAAATAACCAAGTGAATGATCACTTCCTTTTTCCCTCGCAAGCGTAATCAAAACCCAACTCACAATTGTGGCGTCTTGGCTCAGTTGGCTGAAACGAGCTCTAAGGGCGTCGGATTCTTGGCTATCAGAGGCGCACTGTTGCAATGCCTCACAGCAAACTCTTTCCTCAAAGTTCTTGAAAGCCGCCTTTACTGAATCTTTGTTTTCCAGGGGCAAGCTCAATGCTGAAACAAAAATAATTCTCATCCAAGCATTTGGGAAACAAAGAAGTTTTCGTTAAGTGAATCAAAGTCAAATCCAAATTAATGGCAAAAGATTTCTAGCCTTTTTCGAAAATTTTTCTGGTTACTTTCACGTCGCCTGTTTGTTCCACAAGCTGTGCCCACCGCGTCCAAAATGAAGAAACCTTGATACACTTTCGCTTGGAATACATGTCATCGAAAACCTGCCGAGGCTTTTTCTCCAGAAGAGCTGACCTTAAACATAGAAAACACAATTAGTATAATTCAGAACTGTTCGAAAGAGTTGAATGGAACCATGAACATCAAGCAGGACGTGTTTTTGCTATCAAAGAAGGTACGAGGGGTCCAGATGTGGCGTATTTTTATGGGACTTGTAATTATAGCACTTGTATAGCCCTTGTATTGTGCCGAATAGTTTTTATATTAGTTTAGCTACAAAGATTTTATATATATGCTTAATTTCGATCGTCTTCTCTACTTTACTGGAGAAAAGGCCCGAATTTGACAAATTTTTTTGCAATGCTGCTTGTGATCGAAACATACTGTGCTACTTGCATAGCAACCAGTCGCTCTTGATGTTCAAAAAACTTTAAAAACAGCGTTTTGTGTTAGAGGCCTTCCTCTTGCCAGGTACCATGTGATGACAATAATAAAACAGAATTTAGGGTAGCATCCCAGGTTCACTTGAGTTTATGTCGGTTTCTGCAGTTTTGACATATACAATTCAGTCTCCAAGAGCAAATGTCCTCGAGGACATGCATTTCATGGTACCGGGATAGTGGTAAAAGTGAAAGTTTTTTAACCTTTCTTTATAATTCAAACTTTTAGTGCCAAGGATCCACTTTGAAGCTTTTTCCTGAATGCTTTCGATCATCCTCAAGTATAATTTACCGGCCTCTACAAAATTGCACCGTATGAGACGATTGGGACAACTTAGCTAGTAGAAAATCTTTTTGGCATGCCAATTTGTACCGTAAACGATGTTTCGTTTTTTAGTTAAAAAAAGCTTCAACTGGTTTCTCGGATCTTCTATCCGCGTTTGCTGACCAATTCATATACTTAGACACAATTATACCGAGGTCCTTTTCCTCCTCTGTTTGTTCGTGAGTTTTTTTAGCGAGATAATTGCATTTCCTTTCAGGTTCAGATTTTTACATTTTTTTGATGATCAGCGTCATCAAGTTCTGGCTACACCATTTCCCTATTTTGGCCGCGTCAATTTGCGGAGTGATCATGTTCGAACCAACAACCTTATAATCGGCAGCATAACCGCAGCATTAACATGACACATTCCAGGAGATCGTTAATAAATGAAAAACAAGACCTAGAACAGAAGCTTGTGGAACTCCGCATGAGCTCGCGTTCTCAAGAAATTGAATTGCCACTTTTTCCCTCTTTTTGTGATCTTTAAGGTAGGTTTTGAGTAAATCCAATACTCCTCTAGCAACACCATCGTTTGGCAATTTCTCTAATATTTTCTCATGGCTTACTTTGTCAAACGCTTTTTCGAAGTCAACGTAGAGAGCCGTCAGTATTGGAAGCTCGAAATTGCCTAACACTCCATTCCAATCATTTTTGTCATTATAACTTTATATTTAGTGAACCCATTCTGATATTTTCAGATTTAAACCCAATTGCTGAATAATTATCAAAAGTTAAGGTTTCGAGAACTTATGATATGCAAGCTGAAATCGCGAGACGGTAATTGGAAATGTTTTGTTTATCTCCATCTTAAAACGGGGTAGAATGTCGTAGGAGGTCAAAATATAAAACATTGAATTCCTTCCAGCCGTAATTTGGATGGTTTAAAAAAATCCCAGAAACTTTCTTGGGGTCGAGAAAAACTTCCGGGTGCTTGAAGGTTTTTTTTCATAGGCAAACAGTGAAAAAAAATCTCTAAGAACTTGAAATTATCTAAGAACTTACCGGAATTTAAGCGCAAGAAAAGCAAGTTTTTTACATAGAGGCGAAACTACGCTCCACAAACACTAGCCAGAACACGACAAAAAGCAGCTCTAGAAAGAGCAATAGGTAAAAATAAACATAAGCCTTGTAATAGCAAAAATTCGGCTAGGACTAGGGTTCGATCTGCGACCTACTGCAATGAAGAGATTTTAAGACTCATGCACCAACCACTCTGCTACGTACGCTTGACCACCTACAAACAGTAATCACGAACAAAGCAGCTACATATGCTAATAAATTGCCAATGCGATTCAGCAAAAAAAGGCAACAAGTACAAATAGACACAAATCTGCAAGTAATAATTTGGCATAAAACACACTGAAGGTATCAACACTAATTATGCATGTAATAATTTGGAAAGCACAAAAGCACATTATCTATAAATAATGCATTTCAAAAAATTGCGAGAAGTTTTGAGTTAGAAAATTTCTGAAATCGAGTTTTTATGATTCTTAAGTTGTTTGAAACAAATTGCTTTTTCGGTTTATTTGATAAATCAAAAAAGCATCAACTGTGTTCACTTATTTCTATTCGAATGTCAAAGTACATGCTATCAAAAAGCTGCCCCAAAAATGTCACCAATATTTGCGACTTAGAAAAAGAAAAGGTTCTTAACAATACACAAAGCTGACGCTAGTGTGAAGAGAAAAGTGATTCAAAATGCAGTAATGCTCGAAATATATCGAAATGCTACCATGTAGTTGTAGCATAGGCTTTTGGACAGAGCCCATGTGTTTTTATTTCATCCCTCAGTTACCAATTAATACGAGTGTTTTCATATGGTTGCAGTTTCCACATACTCCAAATATGCCCGTTTGTTGTTAAAAATTCAGATTTGAAGAAATGATTCAGGTATCTGTTAGACAATTTGCATGCCTAAAAAACTTCCGATTTGAAAATGCTTGCTAGTCGCCAGTGTTAGAACATTAAAATAAACTGATCATGGATAATTGAAGAAAAGGAAACGAAGCTGGTGCATATTTTCTCTTGAATTGTTTAGGTGCATATTTTCTCTAGAATTGTTTAAAAACTTTGAAAAACTACAAATTACAAAAAATTATGAACGATAATAGAAACAACATCTAACCGATAAGCGATTGTTACGACATCAGCGCTATTCTCGAGAGCTGTTTCAGAAAGGACGTCTGTCAGTGCTCTCTTGTAGAGACTACATGCTTCTTTTGTATTGCTAGGACGTGACTGGTCAAACCAATCTAGATATCTCAGCCAAACTTTCACACGGGCATTAGGATTTGAACAGACACGCAAGAGCTCGGATTCAAACTTTCTGACGTCTTCATTAGACAATAATCCTTTCGATGCCGACGCTGCCATTGCTATATCCCTGCCCTGGGGTAAAGGCCGATAATTTTCAATGTCTCCCATAAAATCACTGGCATTTGATGTCATTTTGACTCTCGCCTCTACAGAACACTGAAAAAGAAGTGATTTATTGCACAACGCGCTTTAAAATGAGCTGATCTTAATAGATTCTAAAGATGCCGTAGACTACATGTTTTATAATTTCTAGGTCCTCGTTTAGATCACCAAAGCTCCCATTTAAAAATCAGAAAAAAAAGTTTTTAAACGTAGTTTCTAAGTTTTGCCACTGAATTGATTTTTCTGATAAGTCCATTTCAAAGAGAAACTTAGTGGCTAATCTGAAGAAAAAAGTTTTAAAGTTTCCTTTTGTTTTCATCCAAAAATAATTTCAGCCTATATGCTTGTTTTCATCCAAAATAATTTCAGGCTATAGACTATAACGCAATAGACAGTAAAGGCCGTGACACAAAACAAAGATATGCCACGGGGGATGAGAAAAGAAACTCTCTAGAGATAAACTACGAGAGGGCAGCTGCAGAGGTGATCAACAAAGTAAAGCAAGACTTGGCGACGAAAGAAATCGAACAACGGCTTAAACAGGAGATAGAAAAACAGAAGTTCAATGAGACGCTCTGTATGACAATACCAGAACCAGAGACCGAAGAGAACTCGATGGGCAAGGGCAACTGCAACACCTTGAAAATGGTAACTGGAAAACCATTTGGCATCACGAAAATTGGGGCAAGAATCATATCAATAATCACAGTGGGTGGTCACGAAGCAACAAGAAACCTGAGCGGCCCGAGTGATCAGACAGTGATGCACATAGATGTATAATTAGATGTCTTATTTAGAAATTTTGCAGAAAACAACTTGTGTATATGGAGAATTTTTTGCTGGTGTGGAAACTGCAACCCACCGGGAAAAATTACGAACTTATAAACGAGGGTTCAAAACCCATGGAGAAATCCTAAAGCCTACCCTACTACTACTACTACTACTACTACTACTACTACTTGAATCCAAAAAGCCTACAAACTCCTTCTAGAGCTTTGAGGGCATTACTCACGAGAGGTGGTAGCAAATCAGTTCGCATGGACAACAGATACACGGAAGCCTATGGACCACATGAGGTCATGTTGAATACAGATGGTATAGACATCTACACAAATGTAACATTCGCCCGGAAGATACATATCGACGAAAAAAAAGATAGGCTCTAAGACGACTGGCCAACGCCTAAACAGAGCTCTACATGCTTTTCACCGACTCTATCAAGCCAGTTCTTTTGGTGGTCTTTTCAACATCGGGTCGACAAAAACGTTACTGTTCTCCGGCATCGACCAGAACGCTCAAATTAACTTAATTACATGCAGGAATATTGAGCTCATGGCTGGGTCTCAGCATCCCCAGACCACGAGGTCACTCCTAAAATTAGGGCTACTACCACTTATTATATTACTATTGTTTTTGTTCAGTAGATAAAAATCATCATCTCCATCGAAGATGGATCAACCCTTTCCCCCAACTCCTAGCTTCTCATCCTCGTAAAATGAATTCAGATGTTAATTAAATTCAAATCAGAGCACAGTAGGGAAGCTAAAAGTTTATGTAAAACAGTTTCAGTCCAAATCCCGAGACCCCTCCGGATTCCCGAAACCGGGGAAATAAGACCTCTATTTTCCTTCCGGAAGGCTGTCTTCCACCCTTCACCGTTGATCGCAACGGCCTTGCAACTATTGTAGCGGTACAATCGTTGCAACTCCGAGCGGTCTCTGCTATTCCTGCATTTTTCTGATTCCGATTCTCTTTTTTTCCGTTGTTGTCGTCGTCGCAACTATCGTTGTTGTGTGTCTATTTCGGTTTTTCTCCAAAATGGCTGTTTTTGACGTTTCTTAGAATTATTACGTCATCAATTCGAATTTTTAAAATTTAGGAATTTCCGAATCCTTCAGCCTTCACGATCTGTCCAATTGTCCGAATAACGCTCTTATTCTTTCAAAACCGCCAATTCGGAAGGTTCGCTGCTAAAAACTCGAAATTGCTGCATCTGCATTTTTGTCCATTCTGGTCGAATGTCACATACTCCCCGGATAGCCCGGTCAATGTCCCCATTGAGTCTCGCAATATTCGTAAAATTGGTACAGTGTCATCGAACAGAATTTACAAAATGCACGAAATTACTTTTATCTACGTCATATCGACTCACTGCAGAATATAAATGGCATCATACCACATCGCTATAGCCTTCTAAATTTTTTCACTATTCTGCACTTTGAGGATATGACCTAAGATAAAACATATTTTCTGACTTCCAACGTCATTGCCCTGATTTAAAACTTTTCCTTCTAGGTTTTTAAAAGGTGTTAGTTTGCAGGACAGTCCTGCCAACCAGCATGCAAAAATTATTCTACTATGCTTCTTCCCTTCGGAAATTTTAGATGTTATTGTCCTGAATATTAAAATTAAGGAACTCTGTGGTTAGAAAAAACAATGAAACAATCTCCCTCTTCAAGAGATAACCCAAGCCTTTCATGTCACCACAAAGTGATCAGTTCTCCTAGCTGATTAAAAACAGCCATGCAGGCTGCAATATTTAAATATACTCTTTACTCAAGCCTTTCTAAATAGATAGTAAGTGTCTCTAAAGCCACTAACTAAAATCAAAATGCAAATTTATAAATGCAACAAATTCTTTAATGTTCAGAACTCAACTAAATGTTTCAGTTTTCAATTACAACTTGGTTGCTTAGTTTTTCACTTAAGTTTTCTCACACACATAAAACAGTTCTGATTTTCAACTCCTTCTCTTTTGTCATCTCTATGTTTCTTCTTTTTTCGTCGTTTAGAAGTTCTAAAATTTCTAAATTCTTCTAATTTTCTTTCCTTTTGCATCTTGTTTTTCGGCCATTTGTCAATGCTCCATCTCCTCCTCCTGCGATATTGACTCTGCACTTTCAGTTTCTGTGTCTTGCAACACATCGTTAGCTATTCTGACGCTGTTGGAAGCAGTCCTCCAACACTTCTGCTCTTCTACCCTCTGTTTACAACAAGGTAGGGGATCCACGTTAGATTCTCTGTTCCTGCAGAAGCTATTGTGGAGACACAACGTCTTGTTTCTCTCCAAATCTTCCTTCGTCTTTCCTGCTCTCCTCGGTATCATTTTGCTGCCTAATTTCATCTTCATCTCATTGATCTCATCAATCACTAGTTTCGATCGCATCATTCCTTTCCTGGTCCTTGACAGATACACCACCTCTTCTTTATCCTCCTGCGGTGTCATCTTGATGGGAGAGTTCACCTCACTTTCGTCAGTGGCTGAGTCAATCAACAACTCACTCAATCTCCCTTCACATTCATCAAGTTTCTCGAGAACTTCCCTCATCAATGGTCGGTTGAGACCCACTTTCAAAATGGACTGGGTCCCATAGCTCTGAACTACTGTCCAGACTTCTTCCATGAACGCCGCTTTGTCCAATTTACATCCCGTCCTATTCTCGTGGTCTCGGTGATGCACTTCCCACTCTTCTTCGGGCAACGTTCCCAAGAAAGGTACTCTGGCAGCGCCTTCTATTCTTCTTCTCCTCGGTGATTCCATGAGGAGTCTTTGTTCGTTACCTTTCGAATTGCCCGGAGAGCTGCTCTCCGGCGAATTCCGTTTCATTTCCATAAAGGCCGATGGAGGTTCCAGTGTCGAAGTGCCTTCGTCTGCTGGCTCAGCCGCTTCCAACGTATCCGCATTATTCTCAATGTCACTGAGGAAATTGAAATCCAGGCTGGATATTCCTCCCGTCAATGCCCTGTCGTCTTCCCTATCTGCTCGATCGTTACCTTGTTGCATAGGTTCCTCTGTTCGACGGCTTCCTCCCTGCCCATCATCTCCGTCTGATGTATCTTTTTTTCGAGCTTGAGGGTCCTCGCTTTCCTGTCTCGGCCCGTTCCGGAAATTTTGGTATGATCAGTATGCCAGCCGATTCATCTTCCTCCTCTCCATGGACCACTTTGATCTCCTCACAGCCGAAGGGTGCCAGGAAGGTTCTCATCTGCAGCGTTCCTCCTACCGTCAACTCCGGTTTCACACTAGTCAGGATCAAGGAGGCCTCAGGCAGTTCGGTTCTGCCTCTCATCTTCATAGGCGCTAAGTCTAACCTCGCCCATTCCTCATCAAACCCTCCAGGCTTGGTGGCGTTGCTTATCAAACCCTCCAGTCGCGGCGTTGCTTATTCGTCTCCTTGTCGCTTGATCCGTTTAGGCAAATCGTGTGTATTGCAACACGGCGGCATTCCTCCCCACAAAGTATGGATCCATCGTTCCCACGAATTTCTCTATCCACCTTTCATTGGTTTCAAATGCTCTTAGTCTAGGAGTTTGTACTACGGAGACTGCTCCAACCAACATCCTTCTTATCAGAGGGAATTCAGGGATTTCTTCTGGCAGCTTCTCGTAATCATTTCTACAATAATCACCCAATCTTTCGTCTCTTCTCTCACCTTGTGATATGCTGCAGTGAGACGAGGAATTCTGGTCATTTCACCATTCGTCTTATCATAGAGCCTTAGATTCCAGAGCTTCGGAAACACCTCGATGTGCCCTCTCTCTACTTCGCCCATGCGATCACGGAAATGATCGTCAAAATTGATGACTGTAATTTCTGGCTCTGATATTTTCGCAAAAAACAGATTTTCGCTCATGAGCTCCCGCAACACGTGCTGCTCACACCAGTTCAGCGCACTACCGTCCACTGCTGATATAAGGTTCAGGTGCAGCACCGACCTCCTGTATGCTTCCACCTTGACATCAGGGATCGCAAACGTGACTGCAGGTCCATAAATCACTGTCACAAACTCTGTGGCTCCTCTGATCAACGCTAAGGGATCGGTCCTCATAGCCAAGCTTAGATCAGTTAGTAGAGGCATGCCCCCAACATGTCGCCTCACGTCTTCCTCCCTCTCGATCGTCGCATCTTCTCCTGTTCCAAAGCTATTCTGATGCAGGAGGTACTGGATAAGAGTATGTCTCAGATCTCTTATCCGTGGCTTTCTTCTCATCAAATTTCTGCACATTCTCTATCATCTGTTCTGGGTAACGTGTCAGTTTCATTAGTCCTCCCAAGTTTCC